GGGCCAAGGCTAGACCGATCTTTGCGCTCTTCTCTATTGCCCTGGTATCAACCTCTCCTGAGATGGTGAAGAATGACTTGGGACGCCACTCGTGCTGGATGAGAGCGCTCGCCCTGCCATAGTTGTTCACCCGAGCCTTCACTGTGGTTAGGGGGTCAAGTGCATGTGCTGTGCCAATTGTGAGGCTGTTTTCATTGCTTGAAAAGCTATGGGACAGCTCCGCACCAACAGCAGTGTTGGTGAGCGGGCTTACAGTGTGGTAGTAGGAAGCAGTAATAGTATCAGCTTTATCGTTCCTGTATATCCACCAACAATATCAGATCACACATGCAATGACCACATCAACCTAAACATACGTATGCAATAAGCCCAACTCGACTCCAATAATGACACAAGATCTATTATGGTTTATCGATCTCGTCAACAGAAGTACTCACAGTAATAGGGAAGCAATGAGGTCAGAATGGGTGAAATTCAACCCTGCATTCACTTTGGTAAAGTTGCCAGAGGCAGTGTCGAAAGAAAGATCAGTTCCCAGAGAGAGAAGATTGTTCCCCACAACACCAGAAAAGTTAACAATCGGATTGGCAGTCAACCCAATGCTAGTGCTTATCCCGGCATACTCATGCTGATATTGGAGCTCCACCTGTTTACAAAATACCCAAGTTCGGACCATGAAAAAATGACGCTTATGCATATCATGCCCGATAAGACATGCATTAACAGAGCAGAAAAGTGAACACAACTGAAGCAACAAGTCAATCAGAAAATGGACGCGATGATTCTTTACCTTGCCAGATCTCTGGTCAGGGGCAATAAAGCTAAAGATTGCCTTGAGACCAGGTGCAGGTTCATCAATAGTAATGGTCGTGAGAAGCTGCATGTTAAAAGACAATTATCAGTCAAAATAACAACGCAACCAAATTACTCCATTATGCATAATCAGTTATAGGTTGCCTGTTCACCGCATGAAATTTACAAGTGCAACAAAAGGAGAATACTAACATTTGCAGGTGTAACCCTGTATCGAATAAATTAACGATATAAGATAAGCGCATAATTATAGACCCATACACAAGATGGTGAAGTCTCTAACTAAATATTATCAGCTAACTAAATGTAGACAATGAAATTTGTAACAATTTGGCCTATACGGTTGCACTAACGCCACAAAATGTGCTTACAGTGTTATCTAGTAGTTGGGAAGAAAAATGAAGAACTTATACCACTTAAACATTGTCTGCTTCTGAGATTTAAAAAAAATCAAGTCTCATGTGTTAAATCACATGGAGCACACCTTAAAAGGACCAAGATAAAGTTGCAAAAGTTAGCTATTAAAACCATAAAACTTCATACCGATCGTACAAACACATGACCAAACAGTAATGAGTTCAGGTCAGGAGGTTTCAGGTTACTGCATTGACCTATTGTTCTATACATGAGAAGAAGAAAAAGCTGGTGCAGATACAATTAGCTCTGCTGACTTACATTAGAGTTGGTGTCAACTTTCACGTCAGTCGTGATGTTCTTGTTCTTCAGCTGAGTGCTCACATCCCCAAGATACAGTTCACCCTTCCTGATTCCAGTTGAACTGATTGCCTTGAGAAGTAAAATGAATCGAAATATCAGAACGAAACAAAGTCGGATAAAACAAAGCTAAAATGACAGGGAGTAGGATCCAACAAATATAAAACACACCACGTAAATCACACATAGCAAGCAGCCAGATTACTAATAGAATAACAAAAGGGCTGAGTGTAAGCATCTGAGAACGACAATCAAAGTACTTTCGACTGCTCAATGTATAAAATACGCCTCCGACCCATAAATTCAAGTAAAGCATGCGAAAACATATCCTTACAAACCCAACAGCATTTCAAGATCACTTAACATAAACCAGTGAAAAACCATGCTGCAAATCCAAGGAATCCGCGGGAACGAATAGTAACCAAACAGGTAACTTATCAATTAGCTTAAAAAAATCAACGAGTCCTCTAAATTCACAACAGAAAAATAGCCAGCATTTCGATGACCGGAAGCATGAATATTAGTTAACTCTTAAGTAGACTGTAAGTGCAGACCTTAAACTTTTAGTATTCATCATGTGACTCGAATGATTTGGTACAGCAAAATTAAATTAAACACTTTCTCAGCAACCAAACAGAAAATAAATTTCCAAAAAGAAAAAAGATGCACTATTCATTTCTCGGACAAAAATCAAAATCAAAAGAGAAAAAAATTAACAAAAAACATAGGAAATTAGAAGCTTACAACTCCGGTGGAAGTGTAAGTGGTGACGGTGAACTTGTGGTCGCTCTGGTAATCCTTGTAGAGAAGATCTGGGCGGAAAAAACAAATATACATTTTCATGAGTGAAAAAAAGAAAAGAAAATACGATAAATCAAGAAAATAAAAGAGAAAATGAAAATGGCGAACCTCTGGCTTTCTTGCCGATATCGAAGTAGAGTCCTGGGCCCTTCACCATGATTGTTTCTCGAGAAAATTTGGAAGGAAAATTTCAGAGAAAGCGGAGCTGGATTTGTGGTCTGGTTGTAAACTGAAGAAGAAGAAGAGAAGAAGGAGCAAAATGGGCCTAACCTAGAAACCCTAGGAAGGTGTTAGTTGAGACCGAGGAGAGAGGCGTGGGCCGTTGGATCTTGTACTGGGTAGAGGTACGGGTTTGTGGCCGTTGATTTGGAGGAGAGGTACCGGTGATTTGGACCTCGAGAATCGTACGAGAGGTTGCGTTGGACAATGGGCATATTCGCCTTTTTGGTGTTGCTTCGTGAGACACGTGGAAATAAATTACATGTTAATTGTTTTTTCCTCGCGTGCTGTATTGTTTTTTTTCTTCCGGCTGTTTTGTTTGTTGATTTATTTTCTTTATATATTTTCCTGCATTTTTATTTACACCTACAATTTTCTTAAATTTGATGAATTAAAAACGACCAATTATACAAAGAAAATTTGTAGCTAAAATGGTCAAAACATTTATCTGTATTCGCTTTTGTATTATCGTTTGTATTATTATATCAAGGGTAATGCTAACTAAACTTGAAAACAAAATGTACAAGTTAAATGATGTGTTACTAATAGAAATGAATACGTCTATCAACGTTTAAGTAATAAATCAATCATCAACTTTCATGTCATTTAGTTTCTAAATATTGTTTACAAATTCAGTCTCTCTAGCATTACTGTGATGATCTGTCCCTAATTTTTCATGTAATTTTCTCCCCAAGTGTGTAAATTGACATTTATGTCCTTTTTGGCAAAAGTGAAACCTGACGTGAATGTAGTCATTCTGTTTTTATATTATTTTCTTGATATCGTAATTAATTAGTACTCATTGTTACGAACGCGTAAGCGCGAGTTAGACCCAAATTGAATTTGTAACGAAAAAGTTACGCTCAATTAAAGTACGTTGCAGCGGGTATAATGTTTTGACCATTAAATTTAAGGGGACAGATCTTTTGGGTACTTTTTACTGTGCCAAATCTGAAAACCTTATCACTTTTCCCTTTTAAAATTGGACTCGTGTACCCATTCCCCTCACCAATTAATTCATTTCCTCAATTCTCTCACCCAATCAAATTTTCTTTCTTTTCCACCAATCAGATCACTCTCTTTTCTCTTTGCCAATCAGAAAGTTGTTTCTCTCTCTCATCTTCTTCCTCTCTCTCTCTGTCCCGAGACCTTCTCCTCTCTGCAACAACAATACACCACAATCAAACTTCACAGATCGAACCTAAAAACACTACCATCGTACTCCACCCATCCTCACGAACCTAGCCGTACCAACCTATCACGAAATGGATGAGTCTTGACTCATTAACTCTGAAGCTCCGACTCGGACGAGTTTGCTCCAACGTGATCCCGGCCGAGTTACAAGTTTTTAGGACGTTAGGAAGCCTTTACACAACTTCCCGAGGCCCCTAGTACAAGTTTGAAAAATATCTAATGCGTAGAAGCACAGTTTCGAGGAGTCGAAAAATAGTCCGAACCTTTCAAGCCAATTTAAGGCCACTTACGTCCACTTTTTTTACTTTTAAGAGGTATAAACTAATGATTAAGAAATGAGCAAGTTATGAAGATTTGAATTTTCCCCATAAACCGGCAATGTTTTCTAGTTTCCAACGAAACCAGACGACGCGGTTCCACAGGAGAAGACGAAGAATATTCTGTCAAAGTTGATGGAATATTCTAATGGCGTCAGGTAACACCGTTAAGTTATGTTAACTATTTAACAGAATATTTCATCAACTCTGACAGAATATTCCTGTCTTCTGTCTCTGCCAGGCGTATGGTCGTGGGCTAGGCAGCATGTGAGGGCACATCCTGTAACATCCCACATCACCCAGGGGAGTGGATCTTGTAAGCCTTATATATATATTCTCATCTTGACCTAACACGAGACATTTTGGGAGCTCACTGGCTTCGGGTTCCATAGAAACTCTGAATTTAAGCAAGTTCGCACGAAAGCAATCACATGATGGGTGACCCCCTGGGAAATTCTCGTGTGAGTTCCCAGAAACAAAACCATGAAGGCGTGGTCGAGGCCCAAAGCGAACAATATCGTGCTACGGTGGAGTCGAGCCCGGATATGGTGGGGGCCCGGGCCAGGATGTGACACGTCCGGCCTCCGGGCGATGAGTGGTTGACACATATGGGTTTGTGACGTTGAGTAGAATGTTTTCGTACATTCAAACCTTCCGTTTGAGCAAACTATGGGGGTTTTTCCTAACTTTTTTTCGTATATGTGTTATTTAATTAATTATCATTAGTTGTTTTGCATATAAGGAAAACTTACCCTGAGGACGTACGAGGACAAGTGAGGCTAGGGGGTTACGATCCATGGACGTATCAGCGAGTGGGCATTTTGTTTTTGTATATTATATATAAAGTTTTATAGTTTTCATAAATGCTTTTAGATTGATTTTACCCCTATATGCCATGATTTATTTAATTTTAAAAATGTTGTTATGACGATGAGATTTATCTGTTATCATGGCATGTTCATACATGTTATATTTGCTCATCATACATGCTTGCATTGGTGTAGTACTTGCCCCAAGCAAGGGCCAGTTTTTCACGTGTATGTGCACATCGGACCATACGTTCACCTTGGATCCAAGTAGGTGTCAATCCTGTTATACAGGTTGCATTAGGCAACTCTGACTCATATGTGCCGCACTTAGCACCAGTATTCACGTGATTGTAGTACTAGAGCATATATATATATTGATTACACCCAGTCTTGTTCATGTCTGAAACTATTTGCATAAACTCGTGTGTTAGCGTAGATTGATGAACACTTAATTTTATTATGCTACTGTAAGATATTGTGATTTGGCGTATTTCTAGATTTATTGTTGATTTACATTTGATTTCATACTTATACGTAGTATGATTTTCTGGAAATTATACATGTTTTATAACGAGGGGTTAGTATGTTCAGAAAATAAATGGATTTTATAAACTTTTGTTTTTGCCCACTCACCCTTATGTTTTTTGCCCCTCCAGGTTCTAGTTAGCTGATTTACTCTGTGGCATACGAGGAATATCCAGCGGTTCTGACGTATCCTTGTTTAAGTGTATGAATTTATCCCGTTGTATATTAAGTACTTAACTAATTTCGACTGCACTATATGTCATATATGCTTTGAATATTTGTATTCTATGGGTTCTACCCATTACTGCGCGCTCACTTTATTAGTTTAAATAAGTTATAGTTTCGGTTTTAATTTAGGGAAGTGTTATTGACGCACTAAAAATCTCATTCTACACTCCTCATAATTGTATTTTTCTTTCCCAATATAGAAAGTTTGAAGTGTAGAATGAGATTTTTGGAGTGCTAATAACAATTTCCTTAATTTATTCACATTTTTACATCACTTATACTTTTGGTTATATCACCTTCGAGTGACAGCCAGCATGCCTTAACTCTGATAAGAGCGTGTCAATTATTCTTATATCAAAGAAAGATTTTAGCTAATATGGTCAAAACAGTTTATCTGTGCTTCGCCTAAAATTCGAACACCTTTTTTTACTATCGCTTGTATTGTTAAATTTAAAAAATGACTAGACTACTTTGAAAAAAGAGAATAAAATTCTTCAAAGTTTTTTATTTTACACCACGTGATTTTATTTGTTTATTATTTTTGAATTGTCTTTTAAAACAAAAGAGTTGACACAATTCTAAATAAAGGACGAATTTAGGGGAATGTATTTAATTGGGATTTTAAAGAATTTTAATTCTTTAATGAATCTAGGAGTATTCAATCAAGATTTTAATTGATTCTCTTAAATTTAAGGTGTATTCAATTAGAATTTTAAGATAGTTTATTAAAATCCTTATAAATTCAGGTGTATTCAGTTAAGACTTTAAATAAGTTTACAACATTTCAGGTGTATTCAATTAAAAATTGATTTTAAAGAATTTGATAAAGTTGAGAAATTAAAAGGAATTTAAGAGATTTCATATCCACAAATCTCACATCTCTCTATGAGATTTCGAATGAATTGAATAAAAAAAAATATATGAAATATTTACAAATCAATTAAACTCCATAAAAATTCATGTATTTATAAATCCATTAAAATCTCTCAAATTTTCAATTGAACACACTAATCTGCATAACTCAAATCTAGGGACTAAGTTGATAATTTTTCTATTTCAGATACCATTTTGATTGAACGGTCAAATTTCATGGACCAATCATCATAATGATTGAACGGTCAAATCATTATTGCAATTTTTGGTGGTGTGGCGATTATTCCACACCACAAAAAATTGCAATAAAATTAAATAGCAGACAAATTTAAATAAGCAGGGTAGGGTGGGCGATTATACCGTTCCACGTAAAATTTGCAGTAAAATTAGATATGTAGTTCAAGATAGGCGATGATATTGCACCATCTTGGATTGCATAAATAAACACTGGGTTATTAGTCAAGAGCTACACTAAACAAGAAATCAAAGATATAAGTAACTATTATGTTAAGAACTAAAAGCAGGCATGATGCGAATAATTATTCACGAGGGTATATCCAACAAGTGAGGCAGAGGAAAAAGAAGAACAATAAAATCTTTAAAGGAAACATTTTTTTTCTTTCGGCGAAGAGCAATGAGAAATGTTTTAGGGTTAGATAGTCGTGCTGATAACATGTTATAAATAGGCAAAAATTAGAGAGATAACCTTTGCTAGGGACCAAAGTGAGGTTGTTGCAAAATATTACACTAATATAAAATGATTGCAGATAAGAGAGAAATAGGAGGATACTAAAAATATTATAGCTTTCTTTCTTCTCTTGTTTTTTTTGTTATTGTTGAACACTAGTAATGCTCTATTTATAGAGCAAATATCTTGGAAACAAACAAATTACATTATTAATCATATGAAAAGTTTACTGTATGCATGTGGGCATACATACGGCTAAATAGCCAAAATGGTCCCTGAGATTTGCATAACTCATCACTTTGGTTCCTAACATTTCAAATCGATAAAAGTGGTCACTGAGATTGTCCACTATCCATCATTTTGGTCATTCCGTTAAATGTCTCGGAGCTCTTGGCTGGAAGTTTGGACAATTTTCAAAGCTTCGTAACTCAATCGTTTCTTAACCAAATTCGACTCATAATATATCAAAATGAAGATAGGAAAGTGTAGAATAATATTATACCTATTTAGAATCCCAATGGCTGCCAGATATAGCCGGAAAATAGCCTCAAAGTTGACTGATCCAAAGCAAAACTGGAAAACTTGCCGAAAACTGGGTAAACTTTAAACGTTTATAACTTTTTCAATACTCAATGAAATCAAGTGATTCAAAAATGAAAATCATACTTCTTGATGAGACGAATAGAATGGTATCTTTTTTTTTTTATGGCTAACTCTGTGTGATTTGGCCGCAAAATGGCTTGAAAGTGGCTGTCTTGGTCTCAAGTTAGCCACTTTTGAGCTGTTTTCCGGCCAAACCACAGTGATTTAGCGATTGAAAAATGTACCATTCTCTTCATCTCGTTGAGAAGTATGATTTTCATTTTTGAATCACTTGATTTCGTTGAGTATTGAAGAAGTTATGAACGTTTAAAGTTTACCTAGTTTCTAGCGAGTTTTCCAGTTTTCTCTCGAACCAATCAACTTTGAGGCTATTTTCCAGCCATCTCCGTCATCTATTGGGCTTCCAAATAGGTATAATCTTATTCTACACTTTCCTATCTTCATTTTGATATATTATGGGTCGAATGTGGTTAAAAAACAATTGAGTTACGAAATTTTGAAAATTGCCCAAACTTCCAACCAAGAGCTCCGGGACACTTAACGGAGTTTTTAACGGAAGGACAAAAATGATAAATGGTGGACAATCTCAAGAACCACTTTTATCGATTTGAAATGTTAGGGACCAAAGTGTTGAGTTATGCAAATAAAATTTCCCTTTTTTATTTTACACACGTGATTTTATTTGTTTATTATTTTTGAATTGTCTTTAAAAAAAAAAAGAGTTGACACAATTCTAAATTAAGGACGAATTTAGGGAACGTATTTAATTGGGATTTTAAAGAATTTAAATTCTTTAATGAATCTAGGAGTATTCAATCAAGATTTTAGGTGATTCTCTTAAAATCAAGATGTATTCAATTAGAATTTTAAGATAATTTATTAAAATCCGTAGAAATTCGGGTGTATTCAGTTAGGATTTTAAAGAAGTTTACAACATTCCAAGTGTATTAAATTAAAAAATGATTTTAAAGAATTTGAAAAAGTTGAGGAATTAGAAGGAATTTAACAGATTTCTTAATATATATTAAGCATCCACAAATCTCACATCTCCCTATGAGATTTCGAATGAATTGAATCAAAATTTTATATGAAATCTTTACAAATCAATTAAACTCCATAAAAATTCATATATTTATAAATTCATTAAAATCTCTCAAAATTCTCAATTCAACACACTAGTCTGCAGAACTCAATTAACGATGAAATTTCATGGACCAATCATCATAAAAACCCTTTCTCTTTTATAATATCAAAAAGACCCTTAAACCACAAATGGAGCAAGATAAATAGTTCGAATTGCTTCTTCGACTATATTATAAAGTCGAAACAACACCCTTGAGTTTCAAAACCAAGATATTAACAAGCACAGAAAATTCACCCTACATATTATATACGTGAGAGTGTCCACACTCTCTTAGATCCTACAGCACACACAAATTCGAGTCTAGCGTAACTGCGCTGGCATTCAGTGCCGCGCCCAAGGGCATTACTCCTGAATCGAACTTCCTTGAAGGAGTCCGTCTCTTATCTGCGACGCAATGTCTCTCACAGCACCTGGTCCGTGTGGGATGAAAACCGAATTGGACTTTGAGGATGCACCAATCTCCTTCATTGTGTCAAAGTACTGGGTCACGAGAACCATGTCCATGACATCCTTGGATGATGTCCCAGGTACGTTCTCAGAGAAGGCCAGCACGCTGTCTCTCAGCCCGTCCACAATGGCCTGGCGCTGCCTTGCTATGCCAAGCCCCGACAGATATTTGGACTCTGCCTCTCCCTCAGCTCGCTTAATCTGTAGTATCTTCTCTGCTTCAGCTTTCTCACTTGCGGCCACCCTCATCCTAGCAGCTATTAGTTAATGAAAAACATGCATATGTTAGTCGTTCTGCAGCTGCTATGGCCAAACAAACTTAATAATTCAAAGAAAAACTTTATTGCAGGTGCACTTGTGTTACTGTCCCACAAAAAGGAATTAAAATTCACAGAGACGCATGAGACATCTCAGTCTCGATACTTTTCATGCTACAGAGGTGCTCAGAGAATCCTTGTGCATCTCAAGAATGATTACGTCTTTCTGTTTTAGGCACACTGAAGCCGTTTGGATGATAGGAGTCGAAAACCTTATAGATGAAAAACATCCTAACCTTTTAATTACCAGAAAACTGTATCAGTCAAGGATGGCAAGAAATAGAACAGACTTCGAAATCCATGGTCAGTCGAGACAAAAACTACCAAAAAACAACATGGAACTAACAAAATTTGACCTCCAGATGAACCTCGTCCAGGTCATACAAAATGAAACAGGGTTCAATTTTGACTAGCCTTTGGTAAAGTTTCAAAATAAATTAATCTTTACTCGGACAAAGCATGCAACAAAACAAGCCTACTAAAATGTTTTAAACAAAACATTAAATGTCATAAGACCATATGGATTTAAACATATTATTATACCTGCATTAATCTCATTCATCGATCTCTTCACGTGCTCATCTGGTTCGATATCCACAATTAGTGTTTGAACTATCTCAAACCCATAATGTGACATGGCCTGCGTATCCACAATAAATTACTACGAGTGACAGAAGTTTCATAATGAAATCTAAACCAGACAAGGCAGAAACATCTGTGCACCTTTTCAAGTTCTTCTTCCACAGATTTGGCTATATCATTCTTCTGCTCAAAGGTTGAATCTAGGTCCAATTTCGGAACACTTGCCCTAATCACTGAAAGAACAATAGACTTCTGTTAGTTTTATCTGCAAGCTACAATATTGAAGCTAAATTCCTCGCCCCAGGAAAAATGACATAAGAACAAGAATCAGATATACTTTCAAAGCAAAACCTCGAGTGTAAGAAATATTCTGCACCGATATTCAAAACATAGACTTCTTATTTTTCCACCTCTGTTTCCAAGAAATTTTGTGTTTTACTCAAAGAATAACAGTTCATTACTAACAGTTCAAAATCACATTTAAGGAATATTAAATGAAAATCCCACCAGACTTTATACAGAGAACTTATCACAATTGAACTAATAAGCTAGAAGGAAAATAACAACACACATAAACCCACAGATTTATGAAACTAATTATAAATTTCAGTGATAAATACATACCATCAAAGACATAAGATTGGATCTGCCCTCTGGTATTGCTGAGCTTGTAAAAGGCATCAGAAGCCTTCTCAGCCAAAGCTCGGTATTGAATTGAAGCAACCACAGTAACAAAAACATTATCCTGAAGAAATACCAAAGATCAGAATTGGCGGATAGATTTTGAATTCCTAATCAGACTTACATGGCTCTCACACAATAACATATTTTTCCAAATTTGCTACAGTTGTACTAATAGATGCTCCTAGAGTTTGTGTGCGGTGCTTACAGTGTGTGCTTAGAAGGTTAAACAAATCTTCTTGTTGAAAAGGAATGAATATACAACAAACCTTTGTCTTTGTTTCACAACGAACGTCCAATTGCTGCACACGTAAGGAGAGACGACCAGCTACCTGGCTACCAAAACACCAAGGCAAACAGTGACATCCAGGTGCAAGCACATCATCAAACTTCCCAAAAGTTTCCCTGATAGCAACAGTGGACTGGTCCACTTGAATACAACCAAGAGCTTGTCCCATCTTCTGGTTATGACAAGAACAGTAAAATGGTAATCAGATGCTGATTGTCAAGCAGATTTTTAGTGCATATGCAATAAATGCTTAAGAGCTATATAGGCCTAACAGGCAGCCTGTCATAGTCCCAGATGTATATTCCACGTCAAAAAACATAGCTAAAAATCAAAATGTCAACAATAGACAAAAATGCGTAGCTTCACCGTTCCATCTTTTCACCAGTAAAACTTACATGATTTTCAATCAAATTTTAAGTGCTAATGTCTTACCAAAGAAATTCAAGTACAAATGTATTGCAATCTTGCAGAAAATTAGATTAAACTAATTAAAGGAAACAAAACTTCAACACATAGGTTAGTTGCATATGCATGATACTTTCTAGAAAGAATTGAAACCTGGGAATTGTTAATAAATTTGTGTGCCTGGGTGTATAAATATATGCACGGATATACACATACTTCCGACAAAAAATAGAGCCAGCAGCCAGGTGGTATCTCAGAAACTCTATAACCAATTCAATTAGAAGCCTAGCAGGAGCGCTCGAGAAAAAGTGTGAATATATTCCAAAAACTTTAGTCTGAAATAACCATGGCATAAAGCCATATGCTATAAAATCTTTGGCCCTAAACTGTGGGGTGACTCTCAGACCATAATGCCACATCAACTAGCAGACCATGAATGAAATGGCTAACAAAGGTGAATGGTAATGTCAACCCAAATTTCAAATAGCAAAACCACAAGCATGAACCTGACCATTTCATTCGACAAAAATCTAGTTAGCGGAGGCCAAAAAGTCTGAGTTGATAAATAAATTTATTTCAAGAAGGATTACAATATCCATTAACAAATTGGAATAATCACTTCACATTTGAATTTTAAATTAATGAGGGTTTATCCTTTATACAAGCAAGGTTTGCTTTCAGAAACAAATATTGACCCTATATACTACTAGATACAAATTTCACCAAGTGCACAACTAACAAACCAAATATGATCAAACTTTGATTCCCGTAGCAATCTGGGAAAACATATAAACTTATAGGATAGAAATCCGAAAAAAAATATATAAACTAAAGGACAACGCAGATAAGCTGCCAAATGGAAATACTGGCTAGCCAGAGCTGGATTGTTACAAGGGGTGTACTATCCACACACCCTTTTTTACTTCTCACGCACCCCTTGTTGATTTCTGTCATTTGATCTTCTTCAATTCATCCGATCCGATGACTAAAAATTAGAAGAGTGTGTAAGAGGTAAAAAGGAGCGTGTGGATAGCATACCCTTGTTACAAATCTAAGCCTCAAAATCAATTTGTATAAAATAACAACCGTATCAAGCTAAAATCGACTGTAGCACGAGTACATATACAATATTTCTACAATTGGTTAACAAAAACTTGATAATCTCGGGTTTACTTTCATTGAGTAACTTCCGTCATTGATTCAAGCCGGTGACGCGTGTGATACGTGTTTCTTCACACACCTCACCGGCTTGACAATAGGCAATATTTATAAAGCATCTTAAATAAGTAAAAGTAAGCTACACCATGAAGTCAAATAGATTAAAGAAAAAAGCCAAAAGAATACAAAAACCAATAAAGTAAACCGTTAAAAGCGACCTCTGCGATTAAACTAACATAAACCAAAGCAAACGAAAGCAAATCGCAAAAGTTGTATCCAACATTCAAAGCGATAAAACTCGGCTTACTAATACACGCAACTCAATCCAAAAATTAACATCAATAATAACATAAAAATAAAATAAAAAGTTCTCGAGCAAATTTACCAAGAATTATGCGATGTCACATCAAATCACACAAGTTTCACTCGGAATTTCAAGTAAAATTAAAATTCCAGACGTTAAACACAGTAAAATCGGGAGCTAGAAGAAGCAGAATCAAGTAAATTCCACAGAAAAAAAATATGAAAATCAGACAATTACAGCAACTAAAACTATGAGAAACGTAAAATCGCGAAAGTTAAGAAATCAAATCCAATCACACGAGTTTAACTGGGAAATTCATCTAAAAGAAAAACTATCCGATTCACACTGTAAATTGCGAGGTAGAAGGAGCAGAAGAAATCAAATTTCGCAGAAAAATCAGAGAATTACATAAAATTTCACAGAGGAATGTAAACTACAGTGAAAATTCACCTCTGAAATGGAAGCGTTTGTCTGCGAAGCTTGAGAAGTAGATATCTATATGGGGGAGTAGGGGAGGAAGTGGAAATTTTGGGCGAGGGGTTTTAATCTTTATCCGCGAGAAGGAAGAAGTTACGGGTCGCTTTCGGGGACAGCTTTGCGCGGAATTTTCCTATGTGCGTGAAATGCAAGTTCTGTGGGCACAGCGCCACCTCCACCTCGGGTATCGCATTACTTCGAAAGTGGTGTGGAAGCCCATCTTTTGGTTATAGAATGTTGAAATGATTCTACGAGTCTTTTCGTTCTTGAAAGAGGTGGATAAACGTGATTTACTACCCGTTTTTTTTTTTTTTTTTTTTAAATATATATATATATATATATATATATATGAGATTACTAGTTTTAGTAATAAGATTAATGTTGATTGGGTTTTTTATATCAACAATGATTCTTTGGTTTTATTCAAGTTTTGCATGCCAGCTAATTAAAGCTTGAATTTTAGTAGAATTTTAATCTAGAGTATGGTCCTTGAATGAGTTTATGATTATTTTTCGTAGATTTTGATCTCACGCGTAAAATTTTCGAGGTACATAAAGAGATTTCGACCTTGTTTCAAAGATAATGTATAAAAATTAAGAGCGTTTTTAGATAGTTAAATGCGCTTAAGACAATATGTGATATAAATGTTCAAATGTTTGTGTTTCATAAAAGCACTTGCAAGTTTTGTGGAAAAAAAAGAAGGTAATTGTGAGTGTCTTTTAAGGAATTCTCGACAATAATTTTCTGGATGCTTTTTGGAAATTCACTTTGATTTTAAAAACTGATTTCTACACTCTATCGTCTCGTTAGCCATCTTAACTTTGTTTCACATGCACACTTTTGTTTATTTGTAATTTTTTAGTTATATAAATTCAAACATAACCAAGGATTAAATAAGAATGTGCATAAGTTATTTCTTTTGCTTTTTATTAAAAATTTCGACATGCTTGTAATAAAAACACTTTGCACAAGTTTTACAAGTAGAATTGTAAATAAATGAGTTGCTAGTTGTAGAATATTATTATAGAAACTTGGGCTTATAATCTTTGACTTCAATAAACTCAAATATAATTAAGGGTTAATAAGGATGTGCATATGACAAATAAATATGCGCGGAAATTATTTCTTTTGCTTTTTATTAAAAATTTCGACATGCTTGTAATAAAAACACTTTCAACGAGTTTGACAAATATGATTAAAAATAAATGAATTGCTAGTTGTAGAATATTGCTATCGTCAGACTTAGCCTTATCTAAAGTAACAAGAATCCGAACAATTTTGACATCTCCATTTTGGCTTCAGTAAAGGGACACGGGTAAGTAACCATAGACTGGTGGGGAATTTTCTTTCCGAATAAGCATTTTCAAAAGTCTATAAAATTTGTTTTCATACTTTAAGGTCTCTGAAGAAATTGAGTAGTAATCGTCTTAGGAACACACCATTATGTGAGGTTTGAAGAAAAGTCGAAGAAGAGTGGCTTGTCAAAATACATTTTCCAAAAGTAATAATTGTGATAATTGCTTGTGATAATTGCTTGAGTGCAACCATTAATCAACATTATGTGGTTAAGATATAATTGCTTGACCCACTGTGTGGTGTTTATGGTCTACGCGTTGTATCGTTATCCAAAAACGTAAAGGCAAAGATGAGAGAGAAAATATGAAAAACGTTTGCTCTACTATTTCCGAGAAGCTTGCTTTTCTGCGACTTCGTTTTTCTTGTGAACGGGGGTGATTTCATGTTCAATTTGTATGAATATTAAAAAATTTGATATTAAGAGTCTTCAAAATTGTTTCATAAATGATTAAAAGCATAAAATATTTGAAGTATATTTTTTGCTATCCAAAAGTTTATGGTGGAGGAGAGGCCGGGAGGCTACATCATCCTAGAGTCACGGTATATTACAAGTATTTTTGAGATTTATCGTCGGTTCAAAATTGTTTCATAAATGATTAAAAGCATAAAATATTGGAAGTATTTCTTTGCTATCCAAAAGTTTATGGTGGAGGGAAGGCCGGGAGGCTACATCATCCTAGAGTCACGTCAATGTCATATTACAAGTATTTTTGAGATTTATAGTTGGGTCGTAGTCTCTTTTTTGGTTTTTTTACGTATTGACGGCATGGAATTCAAACTTAGGCGTCTACCAAAAAACAATATTTTCCGACTTAACCAGATAAAATTGTAATAGAATATTAGGTTTTGAATTGTTGTGTTATTCTTCTCTCAAGGAGGCAATATATATGCAAATTACATAATTGACTAGGGTTACAAAGAATTCCCGAACTCACACCAACACAACCAACCCTCATTATCAAATTGGAAGCATTTTTAACTCGTAAAAGTGCTTTATGAAGATGTACAAGTTAAATGCTTATTCATGAAGTACTTTCAAATACTTTTTTCTAAAAAATATTTTTTTTGTAATTTTTTTAAACACCAAAATTTTTATAATAATAATAATAATAATAAATTAACATAAATACTTTCTAAAAAAGTAACTTGAAATAGGCCTAAGTTATAACCCATTTTAACCTACATGAGTAAGCAGACTCATTACAAAAGTTACTTTGTAAATATTCAATAGTTTCACAAAATACTTGCGATATTTCTTTTCACTTGTAAGAGAGAAATTTTAGTTTCGAATTTGTATGTAGTAAGTTCAATATCAACTTACTTTTAAGAACCCTAATATAAATACACCTTTGTACATAAAATGCTAGTGAAAGTAATTGGCCATGCCCATTCTTCAAATGGGTAGTTCAAATGAAAATTTCTTTTATTTCTTTTTCATATATTTTTTTTGGGTTAATTGAGGGTGATTTGAAAATTTGATGGGCCAATTCATCAGTTTGTCCAAGGTTCAAATCCTGGTAGCCCATTCTCACACAGTCGCATCGCACCTTTAGCATGGTTCAGTTCAAAGCCTGGTAGCCGACCACCAATAATTAGCTTGCTTCGCATCTTTGAAATGACTGAAAGTATTTTTGATGAAAATGTTTTTAGAACCAATTATTAGTAAAGATGCAAATAAATTTTGGAAAAACACTTAAAGTACTTCATAGAAAAAGCACATAACTAGTGCTTCTTGCAAAAAAACATTTTAAGTGCTTTTGAAACCCAATAATATTTTATCTAAAAGCGCTTTCAGTCATTTTAAAAACACATCCAAGTGAGCCATTGTCTTCTCATCCAATCACGTTTGTAAGGTACCATTTGTTATGTTGGATGAGACAGATCACAGTGGGATGAAACACGCTCGTTTCACGTTTGGTGCGCCAATGACAGTGGAACGCGCTGTCCTACGAAACGAAATTTGGTTAAATTTCTATCCCACCCTTGTGGAACACAAAAGCATAAAATTTTAAGACAAAAATACTCCTTATCTTTTTCAATATTTACACCATCCAAATCATAAAACAAATCCTAATCCATCTTCTCTGCCGCTGCCTTTCTTTTCCCATATCCTTCCTCAAATGATTATGCTAGAAATAACAAAATAATAATAATATCACAAAAATATCTTCTTCTTCTTCTTCTTTTCTTTTTAAAATGAGACAACTGGTGGCAAGTCACGATTATCCACCTCTTTCGGGGCCCGGGAAGACTCACAGAGGCATTTCAGCCTTCCTTTGACCACAAATCTAGCTTCCACACCATCAGTGACAAAAATATATTTTTAGCGAGGAGGAATATTTCAATATATTGAAAACACGGTCTGATACGCCAAATGTTATAACAAAACTAGTTGAATTTTTCTTTTAAGTATTCAACCACTCGTATTATGACAGTTAATGTACCAGACAGTGCTTCTGACATACAAAAAAACCTCTTCATATCTCTAATAGAGATTGAATTCACATGTGTTGATGGATATTAACTCTATAGGAAAAGGGATATAAATATGATATAAAAAAAATAAGTTAGGGGCAGAATTGTTCATATTTTATAGTCAACCTTTCAATGTTAAGGATGTTATTAACTTCTTCTCTTAAAATAAAAAATGTTCTTAACCATGTTTTGTTACACGTATTATTAAATGACCAAATATTTTTTATTTCAAATTTGGATGATATTTTTTTATAAGAGATCTGTCTTTATTTATTTTGTATTTAGATGATTTTTCTACTACATGTGATACTATATTTTAAAGAAGGAAATTGGCCACACAATAGATAAGTCACTACTTAGATACCCAACTCACACACAAATATAATATGCAGTCATTTTTTATTGAGTCAAACCTAAAATAAATGCTGTAATTTTTTTTTAACAAACGATATTATCTATACTAAGCGAGAGGAGGGTATGCTTAGCTTCACAATGAGGTAGTAATAATGTAATTCAAACTCGTATTTTACAAGAGTCGAACCTAAGATCTCTCACTTATAGGTGAAGAGGAATACCATTAGACCATCTCCAACTCCAACCCTTGGGCTAAAACCTAAAATTTTTGACCCATAAAATTTAGGTTTTAGACAAGAAACAACTTTTATACTCAAACCCTTCTGGCCAGCTTGAGATTATTAAAGAATAAATTTAGACTAATTTTTTCTTTTAAAAGTAATTTAAAAAAAAAAATTATGTACACTATCATAATTTAATTTTATGAACATTTTAATCTAAAAATATTTAAATTCCAATAAATATTGAAAAATCACTAAATTTGGATGAATTTTGAGTTAAATAAAAATTTTAATTATTTTAGCAGCTAGATTTAAATTTGGGCCGTTAAATCTTTTTTTTTACTATTAGATTTGATTATATTTAATTTCAGCGATTGGATTCAATAAATATTGGAAGACATGCCAATGTGGGTGGGATCCCGCTGGTGGTGCCCACACCATTTTTTGGGCTAAATCATGAGGGAAATTTGACTTTTGTTTGACTTTTAGCTTTTTGTCCACACATTTAACATGAGTTGGGTTGAATTGAGGGAATAAAACCTAAAAAATAGCATTTAGCCCAAAATTAAGTTTGATCTTACCATAATACTAAGTGACGGATTTAAATAATTTTTAAAACTTAACAAATAAACCGTTGGCATCGTTGAAACACATTATTGGATAATCTTAAGAAAGAGGCACTTAAATAATTGATTGTGTGGATTAAAATTCCAGGCGGAGGGCGGTGGAGGGAGGGCGGTGGAGAGCGAGCGGAGCAAACGCAACTTATTTCCAAACAGAGA